TAAATCTGATATTGCTAGATTAAAGGAGATGCTTAACTCGGAGTTTGACATGAAAGACTTGGGTGCAGCTAGGAAGATTTTGGGTATGGAGATCTACAGGGATCGGGCTAGAGGTAAGCTTTTCTTGACTCAGAAAAGCTACATTGAAAAGATTTTGTCTCGTTTTGGGATGGAAAAATCGAAGCCTATAAGTACGCCAACTACTGTTAGTTGTAAGTTGTCTTTGTCTATGTCACCTCAATCAGAGGAGGAGTTGTCTTATATGTCTAGAGTTCCATATGCAAACGCGGTTGGTTGTTTGATGTATGCTATGGTCTGTACTAGGCCGGATATTGCGCATGCTGTTAGTGTTGTAAGCAGGTTTATGGCTCGACCTGGGAGGGAACACTGGCAAGGGGTGAAAAGGATTTTTCGCTACCTGAGAGGGACAACTGATATTGGTCTTGTGTACGGGAATGGTAGGGAATGCTTGGTCACTGGGTACAGTGATTCTGATTATGCAGCTGATGTGGATACCAGGAGGTCTGTGACTGGTTATGTGTTCACTTTGGGTGGTTCTGTGGTTAGTTGGAAGTCTACATTGCAGTCATCAGTTACGTTGTCAACTACTGAAGCTGAGTATATGGCTTTAACTTCTGCAGCTAAGGAGTCTATTTGGCTCAAAGGCCTAGTAGGTGAACTGGGTATTGCACAGGATTTTGCTACAGTGTATTGTGATAGTCTAAGTGCGATTTGCTTAGCTAAAGATCAAGTACACCATGATCGGACGAAGCACATTGATGTCAGGTATCATTTCTTGCGTACTGACAAGAGGATTAAGGTGAAGAAGATTGGGACTGCTGACAACCCGGCTGATTTCTTCACTAAGCCTGTTCCGTTTAGCAAGTTTAAACATTGCTTAGACTTGCTAAATATTGATTACTACGTGATGTAGTAGGCCCTGAGGGGCGAAGTTGGGGAGCTCCTGGTGTAGGTGTGTTGGCCTTAAGGTGGAGCTTGCCCGGGGCTTGTGATGCAGGTGGAGCATTATGAGTTGTTATACTTGGAGACGAGTATGTGATGGGTCTTGGTTGAAGACTTATCGGGATGTATGGCTTATGCATGAGTCTTGCATCGGGTTTGGCTTGAGATGTTTTTCCACTATGTCTTGATGGGGTCGTTTGCTGACTACGAGTTCTCGTCAAGGTGGAGATTGTTGATAAGTATTAGGTGACTCGTACTTCGTAGCTTTGTTCGCCCGATCGGGCGGACATTGCCCGGTCTGACCGGGCGGTGGGGGTTGGATACGTTGAAGCATTCGTATGGAGTTTTCTTCTCGCGCCCGATCGGGCAGACCTTGCCCGGTCTGACCGGGCGGAGAAGGAAAAATGCGGAGACGCGGATTTTACGATTTAAAGTTATCTTTTATGTTATCTTTTTGCCCAAGTATCTTTTATTTTAGGGATTAATATAAAACCTCCCTAATATTAGTATAAGGGTTAAGAGAGAGAGAGTGAGAGCCGTTCTTGAGAAATACAAGAATCATCTTTGTAATCTTTGCAGTTTATAGTGAAATCATTCGATCTCGGTGCCCGTGGACGTAGCTATCACATCGATAGTGAACCACGTAAATTCTTGGTGTTGTTCTTATTGTTTGCATTGAATTTCTTTATTGTTTTCTTGTTTGTTTTCGACCTTTGCTTCCGCTGTCGCACAACACTAATATTGAATGTATCAATTATTATGGGACAGAGGTGGAAATGGAACACAGATTTTTTGTTCCCAGCATTATAGAAAGAGATCAATTGGTTTAGGAACATCGAACCCCAAATCTTCTAGAATTGCATCAATCCACTAGTGGTATGTGGCATGCATCTATATTCTGCTTCAGTTTCTCACTGATTTGTTTATCTAGTGGCACTTTGATAAATAAGAGTATTGGTATTCACACCACAATATAAAAAAAACTACAGGTTATTATTTTGGCTTTGTTGTGTACAGCTTGCAAAGGCGGATGTATATTTACCGTTGGAGTGGTAATTTTAGTAATGCAAATCGGAGAGAGCGAGTCATTACTGAGCTACCTAGGGAGTGTTACGCCCGCAGTTCAAGCTGCACTCACTGCCATTCGCGGCAGTTGTCAAGCGACGAATATGCGATGCTCACAGCCTGAATGCTCACGCGCGTTTGCATGTGGCTATTTCGGGGCAATTGTACGTTTTGTGTGTTTTTTTAGCTTCTTTTTCGATATCAATGGTGGCATATTTCGCTTCTAAGGTAGTGAGTCTCGAATCATGGCACAACCGAAGGAGGTTTCGTGATAATCATTCTAAAGAAGTTCTTAATTGTCTAATGGCTGATCTCTTCTTCTTCTTCTTCTCTCTTTTTTTTTTTTTTTTTTTTTTTTTTGAAAGAAGAAAGAAGAATATTATCATTAATAAATAGCCATACGACATCTACAGTAATAATAAAGATTTGTAAACCACAAATCTAAGGAAAATAACATAACTTTTACAATCAAAATCATAACTATTTAGCATATCGGGCATAGCTCACACTCCACATTTACAATGTCAACTCATTTAACTGATCTTGATTACAATAGCTATGTATTGAGAAAGAGAAGAAATACCTAGCTCGTCTTGTCATATAAATCAAACATTTATTTTCCTTTCTTTTCGATTTAATTTTCGGATTTGCATGGAGATGTGAGGATATACTAGTTCACCCAATAGGCAATATATTTTTTCTGATATCAATTGATGAATTCTTTTTAACATGCACTACCATTTGATCTCTCTTGCGTTTTTTTTTTTTTTTTCCAATTTAATTTATTATTTTTGGGTTTTAATTAGTTTCAGTTTTTTGTGTAATCAATGCCAAATATTTGAGATTACACTTGCGATGATTTTTCAATAAGTAAACGCTAATCAATAGTTTGAGATTACACAAAAACATGATTTGCAAACATTTTTATTTTTATTAAAACAAATGCAATCCATGATGAAAAGTAATCCAAAATTTTCTCATCTTCGTATAAATATTCATCTTTCACCTAAAGTTGCAGGTACCATTTTATCAACTTCAAATATTTATCAAGGTTATAAACCTAGGCCAGCTTAGCATTATGTTGTTAGGAATTATTCAATGTGTGGCTCATCTGTATGCATGTTGTGTGTATGAGTAGAGGAGTTAAAAACTAACCTAACCTAACCCATTCAATTCGAAATCGACATAAAATAAATCAAATTCAAATTTCAACTTGTATGGACACAATAATTTAGCATGACATTAATTTAAAATAAACCCGATCTGACTTCATCGAATCTGACCCTCAACCATCACAAATACTGGCTGGTGTGTGTCTATAAAATACAAATAAAATACAAATACTGGCTGTACAAATAAAGTATACACACATAATGCTGATGCTGACGAATAAAGCATGAGACACGCAATGACCACCAAATGACCTTTAAAATAGGGGTCCAACAAAAAATGGGTTGTGCTCGTAAAAGCTTTGTTGAACTTAAAAGTTAAGAAAGAGATATTCCTTGTCAAAAAAAAAAAAAAAAAATTAAGAAATAATAGAGATAATCGGAGTATTAATTAATTAATTAGAGCAAAACTATTACACCAGACAAATCTTAATTACATCCTCCGATTTGATATTTCAGTGTCTCACAAAAGATATTTCAGATGGGGGGTGGGTATGGAGGAATTATTAGGTTTTTTGTTACTCTATTTCTCTAAGGTAAGGTAACATTTTATTTCGCTTATGAAAGATGTGTTGAAGTATATCCTACCAAATAATACATGTAAGTGTCCCACATTGAGAAAAGAAGAGAGAGTTAAACACTTTATAAGGCTAAGGGCTACTCCTCCTATTGCCATATGGTTTTGGGACAAAAGCTCCTTTGCACTTATGAAGTGAACTCTCTCTCTTGGTTTACGGGTGCGGCCCACACCCGTATTTAACAAGATGCATGTGTAAGACAGAAAAAAGGAAAAAAAAAGAGTAGAAAGATTAAAGATTTAAGCTAAGTATTACTTGTCTCTACTTTGCCTAAAATTTGCATGTGAAATTGTATTATTAATTTTTTTTTATCATTGTAATGTATTATTGAGTTTATAGTATTTTATACTTATATATCCATAAATAAGGTCAAGCTAAGAGATCTAATCATTTGTTTATTGTTTTGGCTTAGATAATGTTTCTTGGTTGGAATGAGTAAAACCCATACTTAATTGATAGATAGAATAATTTTCCCTTGGAGGCTTCTATTGATTATTCACAGAGTATATATACATTGCTATTCTAGGATTACACCTAATACCCTAATATACTACAAGGCTATATATAGACAAATAATATTTACATATTATTATGTCTAACACACCCCCGCAATCGCAGCGGGAGAAGGACGGACGGTGAGACTGGACCTGCTGAAACAAAGGGATGGGCAAACCCTTGGTGAAGATATCAACATACTGGAAGGAAGAAGGAACATGAAGGACATGAATATGACCAAGGGACACCTTTTCACGAACGAAATGAATGCCCATTTCCACATGTTTCGTGTGCTAATGTTGCACCGGATTATGAGACAGGTAAACTGCGTTGATATTATCACAATAGACAATAGTCGCCTGTCGCAAAGGAAAATGAAGTTCCAAAAGTAAGTTCCGAATCCAAGATGTTTCCGCAACCACATTAGTGACGCCATGGTACTCAACCTCGGCACTTGAACGATACAGGGTAGCTTGTCGTTTTGACGACCAAGATACCAAATTATCACCCAAGAATATGCAATAACCGGATGTGGAGCGATGAGTGTAAGGGCATCCACCCCAATCAGCATTGGTGTAAGAAACAAAGACCAGAGGCTGGAGAAGAAGAGAAAGGCATACCATAATCAAGAGTGCCCTTGACATATCGCAGAACCCGTTATAGAGCATGGAAATGAGGTTCAAGTGGATCGTGCATGAATAAACAGATTTGTTGAACAGCATAGGAGATGTCAAGCTGCTAACTGACGGTAGAGAGTGGGATTGTCAAGCTGTTTGCCACTGGTAGCACTTAGCTTAGACTTAGTATCAACGGGTGTTGATGCAGACTTACAACTAGACATATCAACACGAGCAAGAATTTCTTGAGCATAGGACCGTTGATAGAGGAACATGTGCTCAGGAGTACGAGTAACAGAGATATCAAAAAATGAAGATAAAGGACTGAGATCCTTCATGGCAAACTCAGCACTCAAGAGAGAAATGACTCTCTTTCGCAAATGGTCGGAGGAGCATGCCAAAATAATGTCATCAACATACAATAATAGATAGGCAGTTTCCATACCGCGGCGGAAAATAAAAAGAAAAATGTCACTTTTACTATTCACGAAACCAAGTGACAAAATGTGAGTGGCAAACCGCTGATACCAAGCCTTAGGTGCTTGCTTTAGACCATAAATAGATCTGTGAAGAAGACACACATGTTTAGACGGTTTATATGCACCCTGGTGGTTGGTGCATATAAACTGTCTCCAGTAAGTGACCATGAAGTAAGGCATTCTTCACATCAAGCTAATGAATTGACCATTTTCTAGATACAACCAACCCCAAAACAGTACGAATAGTAGTTGGTTTGACAACCGGGCTAAATGTCTTATCACAATCCACACCAACTTCCTATCCCTTGCCATTAGCCACAAAACGAGCCTTATATCTCTCAAATGACCCATCGAAATTCATTTTGTGACGAATCCACACCAACTTCGTTCCTGTCCCTTGCCATTAGCCACAAAACGAGTCTTATATCTCTCAAATGACCCATCGGAATTCATTTTGTGACGAAAAATCCACATGCCTCGAAGAACATTCGCATCATGTGGGCGTGGTACCAAATCCTAAGTATGAGTTTGGATCATGGCATTATACTCATCACACATAGCAGCATACCAGTTAGGATCATTCATAGCAGTAAGGTGAGAACGAGATAAAGGAGATATTTGGGTTTGAGATGTGGTGGTGAGTGCACAGCCTGCATATTTTGGATTGAGCTTAAAAATGCCATCCTTAGCACGGGTTTGCATGGCATGACCTATAGTAGGAGGTGGAGGTGAAGAGGGCACTATAAGAGAGCCCAAGGGACTATTGTGGGCCTGATGATGCGATTCACTAAGAGGGGAAAAGAAAGTGGATTGGGTAGACCACGGTGGGCCTATGGCTGATTAAGCAGGCCCACGAGCTGACCGTGGTCTATTCTGTCCAGAATCCACGTTATGGGAGGAAGGAGTATTAGGAGTAGTAGTAATTGGAGTTGTTGGTGAATTAACGGGCCTAGAATTGGGCTGCAACGGAGTGGCGTGCACATGGGTGGGAAAAGGAGTAGGATTATAAGTGTCATCATCAGACAACAAAAAATCATAATCATGCACATTTGGTGTGTAATTGACAGAGTATGGAAATTGAGATTCCTCAAAGACAACATGGCGTGATATGATAACGTTATTGGTTTTAATGTCAAGACAACGATAACCTCTATGAGAGGTAGGATACCTAAGAAAAATGCACGGTTAGAGCGATGACTCATCTCATTTGGTGAAGTTGCGGATGGGTTAGGATAGCAAAGATAACCAAATGTACGAAGATGATTATACGACGGGGCTCTTTTGTAAAGAAAGTGCACGAGAGTGAGATTGTTAAGAAGTCGAGTTGGGCGAATGTTTAATAGATAAGTAGCCACATGTAACGATTCAACCCAAAACGAGGGTGGAAGAGATGCATGAAATAAGAGAGAACGACAAAAATTATTAAGAGTCTGAATCATACTTTCGGCTTTGCCGTTTTGAGGAGAGGTACTGGGACAAGAGTGTCTCCATATCATGCCATGGGTAAGAGAGAAATGGGTAAAGCTATCATTGTCGTACTCTCTGCCATTATCACATTGCAATGCTTTGATTGCCATCCCAAATTGGGTTTGAAAATAAGAATGAAACCCCAAAAAAGTGGAAAACGCATTAGATTTTGACTTCAAAGGAAAAACCCAAACATGATGAGAATAGTCATGTAGAAAAAGTAAATAATACCGAAAACCAGATTGACTATTAATAGGATAAGTAAATAAGTCAGTGTGAAAAATATCAAATGGAGCATAAGTCTTAGTAGTAGAAATAGTAAAAGGGAGATGACAATGTTTGCCTAATTGACAACCATGACAAGTTGAGGACAAAGGTCCTTTATTACAAGAAATGAAATTTTGATTCTTAAGGAAACTAAGGACATGATCTCCGGGATGATCCAATCGATTATGCCACACTTCGGGTGAGAGAACAACAAAAGCATGAGAAAAGTTGGATAGTGATCCGAAGAAGTAGACATAGGATAGAAGTTCCTTACACTATTGCACCTCGTCACAAGATTCCCCGTTCGTAGGTCCTTCACAGATAAACCAAAGGGGTCATATTCGACAGATATAGAATTATCGGAAGTGAATTGACGGACAGAAACAAGATTTTAATAATGTCAGGAGCATAGAGAATATTTTTGAGGGATAAAGGAGGGAGGGGTTTAGGAAAAGTAGTACTGCAAGATCCTCTAACTGGTATTTTTGTGCCATCACTAACCATAATATGCGAATTTAAATTACGCCAATTAACAACAGAATTAGTGATACCTGAGTTATTCATGAGATGAGAAGAGGCACCCGTATCCATACACTAGTTCGGGTCCGGTGCAAGGACAGAGTGTTGAAAAATGCCGATAAAGCAGTTGGTTGAAAACTCGAGCTAGGAGCAAGAAAAGCTTGGTTAGGCTGCTGAGTTCCCTGAGTGGACTGCGTGTTGGACCTAGGAGCAGTGCCCAACAGACCTTGTTGAGAGGAATTTGAGGAACCTCTCCACTGTTACTGGCTAGTTGGATATGGGCAAGGTGGGTAGGCCCAATTCTGACCCTACATTGCAGCCCAAGGTGGAAGAAACCCCAAATATTACTGTTGCTGTTGTTGATTGTTGCCACAACCACCACCATTATTATTTCCTCTGCCACCATTGTTCTTCTTACCACGATATCCGCGACTGGCACCATGACCACCACTAGACGATGGATGGGTCGAGGTGGAAGAAGATTGAGAGGAGTCCGGTTGAGCAATAAGAACCGAAGATGAAGAAGTAGTAGATTTTTGATTCTTTTCACGACTAGTCCGGTCTAATTCCAACATAGAACAAGGTTTTGCAAAAGAGGGCAATGGAATGGATTGCTGGATTAAAGTTGCAACCATATTATATTTGGCAGTAAGTTTACCCACAAGTTGAAGAACAAGACGATCCTCGGAGATGGGATGATCCAAAGTGGTAAGTTGATCAGAGATAGACTTCAAGGTCTGGCAATAATCCGCATGGGACGAGCAATAGGAAAGACGTGTCTCCTCGAATTGTTATTCAAGATGAACGACTCGAGTCCCCTTATTGTCTTGAAAAATGGCACGCAATTTTTCCCAAACCACCATAGCCGTGGCTTTATCTTCCAGAATTTCGTACAGAAAATCAGTTGAGAACTATCTTGAATCCAGCAATCCAGAATTTCGCAATTTTTCCCCTTATTGTCTTGTGCTATAAATCCATTGGAGAACTACAGCATCCAAGCGAGACCATAATTCATCAGAAATTTCACTAGGGCGCACGACAGTAGAGTCAATGTGATCGAGAACCGTATACGCTCGAGCGGTATTGTGGAACAGAGTCGACCATGGATTATATTGGACTTTATCTCCATCAAGAGTAAGAGGAACCAAACTTCGAATGTTAGTAACATTCAAAGCAGGGTGATACACCATTGAGGCAGCCGGTGTAGAAGGATTTTCGGTACTGGGAGAACCTGGAATGATAGGCTGCCGGTTGTGTGGTGGTGTGTATGATGGACCCGTCATGATGGAGAGGAGAAGAGAGGAAGAGAAGAGAAGAGAAGAGCGGAAGCGAGAAAGCTAGGGTTACAGGATCGAGAAGCCTAATACCATGTAAGATAGAATAATTTTTCCTTGGAGGCTTCTATTGATTATTCACAGAGTATATATACATTGCTATTCTAGGGTTACACCCAATACCCTAATATACTACAAGGCTAAATAGGACAAATAATATTTACATATTATTATGTCTAACATTAATGTTTGTTTAAGAAAAATCTAATTTTTAAACCCATATCTCAAACTCACAAGGTATGGGGTTTAGAAACCCAAGGGGGAGGTGGGTATGGCTCATACCACACCTTTAGGTATCAAATAAAAATGAAAAACCCAATCCTGAACAACAACCAACAAACACAATGTATAGTTTCAACCCCATACCACCCTAATTTCATTCCTAATTCCAAACCCAATACACTTTGTGAACCAAAACACATCCTAAAGTCTTCGCCAACTCGTAGTTGGAGACCTTGGAGTTGATCGAATCCCTGCCGGTCGTACTGCACGTGCTTAGGGTGAGGATCTTTTACCCTTTTCTTCTCTCTTTCAAGTAATCTTGTAATTAAAGTTGTCATTTTGTCAAGGGCTTTTCATGCTTTCTTGTACTTCTTCTGTCCTCCTAACTATTTATTAATCGTGTGAAATTATCAATCATGCTCATTCGATGTCGGTAATGGTGTAATGTCATGTTCTATTAAATGTGCATGAGAGCTTAATTGTGATAACTGAATATAATCACAAATTTTGTTAAAATATCTGTAGATAAAGTCACCAAGTCGCACTACAATCCACCATACGCTTTGTGCTCCAAACTTTAGTCAATTCGTGTTGCAAATCTATTACTTCCGACAAGCATCACGTAATAATAATCTTCATTGCCCACATAAATTAATTATTGTTGCTAAATTTGCTACCCTAGCTACTTGAATTGCAGACTTTAATCAGTTATCAATTTATACGTACTCTTTAGACCATACATAAATCAAAGAATATTTTGTTAAAATTATTGACCATGTGTAATTAATTCTAGAAATGTACAACATCATATCGATCAAACTATTCACTTGCCTTTGTAAAAAGGAAAATTAAATAAAGCTTATGTGTGCTCTTGATTTTATTGTTGTAATATCTTAAAAGTTTGTTGAAAATATTGTTTCGATCTATGTTATTCTTTATTATTTCTTTTACTTTTTTGCTTCTAATGAATTTAAAGTGTTGAATGAAGATGTTCTAAAAAAAGTGAAATTCAAAATCTAGCTTAGCATAGTAATCAATTTTGAAAAAAGTCATTATACTTATGTTAATTATTCATCGATGTTGGGCACTATGTAACGCAAAATTATTGGGCGGGTAAGTGATCGAACCATGCATCAATCATTCCAAGAAGATCATGACAAAATTGAAAAAGACTCAAATTATATATGTACATTAGAATAAGTGTAAAAACTTTTGATATGATGTAAAAGAAATGTATTTGGATTGTACTGTTGTTGGCATACTCCCTTCGTAATAAAATAAGTGAAACGTCTTGACTTTTTGCATTATTTATCAAATTCACTTTGACTAATGTTTATAATTTATATATAAGAATAAATATAGTCGTGTGGCATTTATTAGAATCGTTTCAATGAATAATTTAATATTATTTAATTGTTACAATTTTACTTATTAATAATTAAAGATATTATCAGTCAAAGTTTTGCAATGGCATACGTGTACAAGAGAAAACGTTTCACTTATTCAAATACGAAGGGATCGAAGTATATTTGGTAATAACTAAACCTGTCAATCGGGACGGTCGGGTCGGCTCATGGCTCATTTCGGATATGGTCCTTCAAGTCACGGGTCAAGAAATGTTCAACCCTAATCTAAAGTTTTGGATTTCGGGTCAAGTTAAGAACAATTTTTTTTTTTATTAATTATTCTTTGCTAATTTTTAGAAATATTTGATTTTTCTAGCTTTCTTTGTTACTAATATTTTAATCCAACATTCTCACCAATATTATTTTTAGACATTATATGTCTACTCCATAATTTAAATTGTTCCCAAAGCACATATATTATTATATAGGGTTACACGTCATAGCTTCGTTACTATACTACAATTAAAGAAACATAAATTGACTAAGTGGGTAAATATGGATCCACTAAGCTACTGCATAAATTAGCTCAGCTAATGAAACCATGCATTCTTACTCTAATAATCTACTGCGTACCAATACACTAAGCACATGCTCCTTAAAACTTGGGAAAAATTGCCAAACTAAGCGTTTTTGGGAAACAATTTCCCAAACAAGACGTGTGGCAAAACTATTTACCAAACTAAGCTTCCAGAGTAAAACGTCAACCAGGATGGCGTTTTACCCTGGGCATTTTTTTTTTTTTTTAATTTTTAGTCAAGGATAAAACGCCATCAAGGGTGGCGTTTTACTGCTGGGCAAATTTTAAAAAAAAAACACATTTACACAAAAACGCTAACGCCGTTGGCGTTTTACCCTGAGTGATTTTTTTGAAAATAATTTACCCCCCTAAAGCGCCACCATGGTTGGCGTTTTATCTCTGCACACAAACACAGCTACACAACAACAACATCAACAACCACAAGAGCTGCAACAACAACAGCAACAACCACAGGAGCTGCAACAACAACAGCAGCAACAACCACAACAACTACAACAACAGCAACAGCGACAACCCCAACAAGAGCAACATCGACAACCCCAACAAGAGCATCAACAACAATCACAACAACTACTACAACCTTAACAACAGGAACCACAACAATAACTGCAACAACATCAGCAACATTAACAACACCAGCAACAACAACAACACCAGCAACCAATACAATGAAAAGAATGAATGCGTATGGTGAAGTTGATAATGTACAGAAAATGAACTAAAAAGGTTAGTAAAATTGATAATATTTATTTGGATACAATGTACTATAGAATCTGATTACAACTAACAAAAGAAGTTCTAAGATCCCGATTCATCTATTGTATGTAAGTGTTGTCTTTCCAATCGCAGTCTTCTACGGCGGTAGTACTGAGATACCGTTGTGAAAGGATCTGGGGCAGAGGTCTGGGGAGGAGTCTGTTGGCTGGAAGATGGTCCTTCCTGAGATGAGTATGGCGCAGACATGTGGATGGCGATATCTTCCTGATCATCAAAAAACAGGGGGGACCCTGTAGGGGACGTGTGAGTCTGTCCCCTACTACTGCTGCCTACCTCACGGTGTGAACGGCGGTGTGATTGGTCCTGGCCCTGGGGGATAAGATGGCCATGACCATGTCTCTGTAAGCTACTCACAGTCATTGCGTGAATGTCATCCAACTGCGGTATGGTGGGATATGATATGCTCAAGACTTCTAGTGCATCATGTATAGCAAGCATATCAGACGCCTGCATTAGTCAACAATCAGCCATTTTAATAATTAAAGAAACTATAAATTGGAGGAAAAGAAAAAATGACAAAAAACTCACATATCCACTGATGTCTCCAAAAGCTGGGTGGTAATGCGTTGAAGGTGGGGTGTAGTTAGGGTTGATGAAGCGTCGGGTAATGCTCCTGTACCATACCATGTATGGATCGTGATACTCCATCAGGCCTTGGACAGGCGCACCATCCGCGACGTGCTGCAGCCGCTGGTCCCACATGTCAATGTAAGGGGCATGCTGAACTGCCCAGTTAACCTCCCCCTTTCCTCGTCGGTCTGTCCTGTGCAACTGGACACTCGTGTCACACGGGGCGGGGATGGCTTGACAAAGGCCGAACTGTCGCATGACTCTGTCGGGGAGGTGAGCCTCCACTAACTCAAAACAGATGAGCACTGTCATGGCACGCCACTCCATCTGGTGATCAAGAAGATATTGGGGCATGACATCGACTAAGTGAGGGACGTACGGATCCCACGTCATCTGCATTAACAAGCAGTCGTTAACATCATAATTAACTTATTAAAATAATGAACACGGTGTTAAATTAGTTTTTAAAGTGAACTATAACCTGAGACTCGCTCAGTCTGTCGAATGCATCTCTATAATACGGCAGACCCCTTGCTGCATGCACACGAGTAAGTCTCCGCCCTAGCCACCTGATTACATGTATAATAACAGTGTTCATGACAAAATTAATAGAAAATTAAAACCAAATGTGGATAACTTAACAATAAGTCATACATACCGGCAACCGTATGCTAAGTCCGGTGGTGGGTGTGGCGGCGCCTCATATGCATGCTTCTGATCGTCTTCCTCCTCCTCCTCGCGTCGACGCCTAGCAGGCATAGATGGCCTACCAACGTGGATGTGCTCCCAAGCCCATAACTGTAATAAAAAAAACAAAAGTTTAGTCTAGCCAATGTTTAGTACGTAATAGGTAGAAAATGGTATGAAAGTACAAGACTACCTGAAGCACAATCAAGGGACCGCTGATCTCCCATCTACTACGCTGGGATTCTCTGCAAAGATGTCGATATAAGGTTGCCAGACACGCACTACCCCAGCTGTAGTCACGTATACCCTCCCAGTTGTTCTCTAACAGTTGTAGGTAGATCAACTGTATGTGACTACCACTCTTGTTACTGAATAATGATCCTATCAACATGAACAGGTACGCTCGAGCGTATCTTTGGACGACCCCATCATCAGCATCAGGAGGCAACACCCCAAATGTCTCTCGTAACCATATGTGTCTTAACCCTGTGCCTCTAACATCGGTCGCCTCAGGCCTCACCCCTAACACCCTCTCAACAAGGCCACGAGGGTCCTGTATAATCGGTCCTGTAACTGCCCTACCATGCACTGGGAGCCGTGTAAGTATCGCCACATCTCGGAGCGTGACGGTGGCCTCCCCAACTGGTAGATGGAAGGAGTGAATCTCCTGTCTCCATCTCTTAACGAGCGCAGTAATAAGCGCTCGATCGATCGGTGTGAAGGCCATCCTATGAAATCCGCCGAAACCCACAAAATCGATGTACTGTAGCACACGGGGGTCGACCACCCAATCTACCACCGTGGTGGCAACGTGGTGCCTGCAAACCAAGCAACGTGCTGGATCACCCTGTACAAGAACAAAAAATAAATTGTTTGATCAGTGAACCAAATAAATGCCAAACACATTAAATATTTGGTAGATGAAAACTTACTATCTGCTCCCATATGTCACGGCTCCGATGGGTATCCTGAAGTGTCAGCACTGAAGGGTCAGCTGGTCCAGGGTCATGTCGTGTCTGCCCCTGATCCTGTCCCTCCATGATCTCTGTTCAGCGTACAATGTAAAACAAAAAGTCAGCTACATCCTACTTGAACACATACACACAACATGGTATAAAAATAATACATAAACTAACACCACTACCGGTCACCGTCCGTTCGAAAAGGGCAAGATCTCTTATTGTGTCCTTCCTGACGGCAACGACTACATTTGCTTGGTGGACGGTTTGTCTCATCCATTTCATTTCGTATACGCTTCGACGGTGGGCGACCGTGTCCTCGGACCATGATCTCATCAGGAATGATTTTAGGCCCTTTGTATGACCTCCACGGCGTCTCACAAGGAATAGGCCAGAATTGTGGGGCATAAGTATTTGCATACGCCTCTGATCGTAGGAAACTGTCCACCCACGGTTCCTCAGAAACTGAATAATTAAGACACACGGCTAGAACATGAGAACATGGTAGGTGAAATATCATCGGTTTGTTGCATGTACATGTTCTTAAATTAAAGTTAACGGTATGCTTATGACCCTCTTTTCTCCCTATCCTTTCTCCTCGGTGTGTTTTTACTTGGTATATACCAAGCTGACGGCTATAAACATCCAATGTATGGTATTTTGCCTTTCTATTATTCTTCTCCAAAATGGCGGTGACCTTAGGTGAGTATGCATATCCGTGAGCACGCCTAGCAAGTGAACTATCTCTGCTTCTGTTAAAGTACTTGTTAACTCTGTGGAAAGTTAACTCGAAAAGGGACATGATTGGCAGAAAACGAGCTCCCTTCAACACATTGTTAAAAGTTTCTGAGAAATTTGTAGTACATATACCATGCCTCCGACCAGCGTCATGAAACAAGGACCATCTGTGAAACGGCACATCCGTGATGTACTCTAGGGACTTAACACAAGCTTCGCCGATAGAACGCATATCTTCAACCAATTTTTTTCTTGGCGTTGGTATGCAGCAGCCTTGAACCTATCTCTCATGTCGTTGTTTTTCACATGGGTCCTCAAGTTAGAGGCCATGTGTCGAACGCAAAACCTGTGAAAGGCCCGTGGCTCATGAAATCCAACATCCGGGTTAGTCATCGCAGCAATAATCCCCGCATGTCGGTCAGATATAACACATAGGCCCTCTCGATCAGTAACATGAACCCGAATGCAGCTTAGAAACCAGGACCAACTCGAGGTGTTTTCCCCTTCAACTATTGCAAATGCTAAAGGAAATACCTGAAAATTAGCATCAACACTTGTAGCAACCAAAAGTGTGCCTTTATATTTCCCATACAAGTGTGTCCCATCAATAGATAACAGAGGCATGCAGTGTTTGAACCCATCGATGGAAGGCTTAAAGGCCCAAAACACTCGTTCAAATACCTCCATGTTGCTGTAATAAACACCTTCAGCAATAGCTTTGTATTTCCACAGAACTACAGTGCCTGGGTTCGACTCCTGGAGGGCTTGCATGAATAAAGGAAGTCTGTTGTATGAACTCTCCCAATCCCCAAAAATTTCCGCAATCGCTTTCTGTTTGGCATACCACGCTCTTCGATATGGAACATCGAATTGAAATTTGTTGAAGATGATATGTTGTATGAACTCAACTCTCAAACATGGATCTTTCTGCACAAACGACTTCACATAGTCGCAGATAACAGAGGAGTCCAAGTGTCGATGATCTCTGGGCGGAACTTCATTAACACAATTGTCGCGATGTGGGCCCTTGTAAGATACGATCTTAAAGGCACGTGTGGTTAGATTTGTTTTTGTACCACGTAGCGACCAACCACACCCCCTCTTGCACTTTAAATGAAGGACATTCTCATTCGACGTCACTGTGGTGTAGAAATGATTTCGCTCTATGGAATACAATTTCACCATTTCCTGTAGCGCTTTCTTATTGTCGAAAATCATGCCCTTCTCAAATTCTCCCCCGACACGAAACGAACACTGGCTCCCCGAATCACCCCAATGTATGTCCACCTCATAGTTCTCGTTTATTTGACTGAACCAAGGTAATGGAGTTCTAGCAACAACATCATCCACAGACAAATCGTTGTTTATAACATCTTCTTCATCTCCGTCTTCACCCTCGTCGTTTGTGTCATTATACATATCAAGAACAGACAACTCGTTGTTTACAACAAGTTCAACATTCACCAAAGTCTGAAACGGTGGTGTTTCAATATGTTCTTGCGTGGGAGAGTAACTTTGCAACTGCATCGATGATGAAATGTCATTGTTTGAGGTAGATGGACCAGGTTGCTTCATTGACCCCGACGCCGTAAATTGTGAACTGAATGGAATGTCAAATTGATCGTCGTGTAACATTCTACTGAAAGAACCCAGTCCATATTCAGATGATGGAATGTTATATGCGGGCATTTGTAGAGAGCTTGCATTGTATGATGGAAGAAATGTTGGTTGTTGAGTACATACAGGCACCGTTTCCACATACAAATCAGTAGGAAGAAACCTCATTGCAACGACACCCCTCAAAACCTCCAAATGGTCGTCATTCAAAACAGGTAAGATTTAAATCCCGCTAACACTTTCAAACCTCATTTTGATGTTCACTTCAACACTTGTTGGCTTTGAACCAATTATAGTATAAACTTTCTTCAACAAATCATTGTAAGTCATACAAGGTTTCAATGCTAGCGGTTTCATTTTTCCTCCTCTATACTCGACATTGGGTCCGACACACAAAATTTCACCCCCCCCAACGGCATAACAAAACAATCAATTGTGAAGCCATGTTCTACATAACATCAGACCACATATTAGGTGACACATATGCACAACTAAAACCACAATGATTCCAATAAATCCCCAAGCAAAGCGTACATACAACGCAGTGTTCAACAACATACTAACTTACCTACTTAATCTAACAATGTAAGATACATTTAAATGTACTTAACTCAACAATGTAGTTCGTAATTCCCTAAATGCTTCATATATGTAGTTCAACAACTAAATGCTTCATATAAATTATACGAAATTATACAACATACATATAACTATACTTAATTTCAATAATTAAACAACAATGTATTATGTAGTTATACATATTTCACATACTTGAACAACACTATAGTACATACATTGTAAATTACAAACATAAATTCCCAAAAAACATCATACACAAGTAAAATAGTTAAATTCAAGACATACCTCAATTTCGATGAAAGTAGGGCGTAACAGTGTTGAACAAAGAAGGAGGATTAATTTTTGTTGACTATGATGCAAAACTAAGCTACGGAATGTGATGAAATTGCTTCAAATATGGAGAATTGGAAGTTGGTATGCGCGGGGTTAGGGTTTGCAATTTGGGGGTTTGGTTGAATAATGAAGAACAGCGATATATGCTGTTAGAAATACCCGACTCTAAAACGCCAACGACGTTAGCGCTTTTGTGTTAAAAGTAAAACGCCAACGGTGTTAGCGTTTTTGTGTAAATGTTTTTTTTAAAAAAATTTGCCCAGCAGTAAAATGCCACCCTTGATGGCGTTTTACCTTTGACTAAAAATTAAAAAAAAAAATTGAAAGCTTAGTTTGGTAAATAGTTTTGCCACGCGTCTTGTTTGGGAAATTGTTTTCCAAAAACGCTCAGTTTGGCAATTTTTCCTAAAACTTGGCACTACTTTGAATCCGTCATCCCCATTTCATTATATTTTTTGTGCTCAAGGTTTGTTCTTTTTGTTGTGTCGTGTGTGTGCGCGCTGATACAAGAATGTAGGAAGATCCTTTTTACGGAGTATTTTTTAGGCAAAAGCCTGGAACAACATCAACGATAGGTCGGGTACTTAAACTGGAGCAATGCACAACATCACTTATGTGGGGTGGGTCTGTAGGTGAAAATATAGCGTAAAACAGCTTTTTTTTTTTTTTTTTTCTTAAAAAAAAAACCATTTTAAGGATAAAAAAAATTTACGTATAGCCTTTGCTTTATAGTTACATATATTATTATATTTGTATTTAAAATGTCGTAAGTTGGTATTGATTTATAAATGCATGGAAAAATTTATTAATTATGCATCGATAGTTATAATCAACGTTAGTATTCACTTTTATTTTCACCTTAGTCTCCTTATATATTGGCCTAAGGGTTTTTTTAAAGAGTTACAAAATTAAACCCATGCCCTAGGATAAACACAACTAAAAGGTAAAAAAATTTCTAACAATAGCCCTAATTATTTCTTATAAAAAGATAAAAATTATAATTTATCTAGCAAATCGTAGCTACCTAAACCTAACTATGGAAAACAAATTCACTACGGGGTCGTTTGGTTTGTACGAGGTAAACGGAATGGAATCAACAAAGGGAAAGGAGGAGAAATAAAGGAAAGCTAATCCCTTACATTTGTATAGCTGTTTGTTTTACATAAGGGAAGAGAATCACATTTACAACCACCACTACTACCCTCCTCCGATCCTACAACCACCACTACCCCTTCAATCTTACCATTCACTTACCACCACCACCACCACTACTTTAGCCACCACCCTCCTCACGATCTGCCACCGTCTCCAATGTCCTCCACCCCTACCGCCGCTGCTGCACTCCCTTCTGCCACCGTTGCTGCTCTCTTTTCTTTCTCATTTTTTTAAGATCTAGTTAATATATTAGTTGTTTATAAGGTGTTAAGGGTTGTATTTTTAGATGTTTGGGGGGATAATTAGGGGTGTTTATGGAAAAATTTAGGGTTTTGGGTGGTTTTTGTGGTGAATCTGGGGCTATTTTCGAGTTAGGTGGGGTGGTTTTTGGGGATGGTGGGGTTTTTTCGGTGAATTTAGGGTGATTTGGGTGCGGTGGTTTTCGCGGAGGGTGGATTTAGAGTGATTTGGTGGGGCGGTTTTCGCGGAGGGTGGGTTTAGGGTGGCTTTTAGGGAAGGTAGAGGTTACTTTTGGTGGGTTTAGGGTGGTTTTCAGGGAGGGTAGATTGCTTCGAGTGGATTTAGGGTATATTCTGGTGGGCGGTGATGTTAGGTCAGTTGATGGCGAGGTTGTCCTCAGTTAGGCGGCGGTTATGGTGGCGATGACCGTGGTGACAGCAGTGGCCATATTGGCGGTGGCGGTGGTGACGGCGGTGGCCATATTGGCGGTGGCGGTGGTGACAACTATGGTTTTGTTGGTTAGCAGTAGTTTTGGGCGGTTGGTTGGTGTTTTCAAGGTTGGTCAAAGGTAGTTAAAAGGTGGTCAAGGTAGTTAGGTAAAGAGGAGTTTGGGCTTAAGAGTGATTCCTTAGAGGAGGGGAGGCGGGATTCAAAGTAGAGGAAAATGGGGTATAATAGAAGGGGTAAAGGGAATTATTGAATTTGTGTAACAAACATCATCAAAGGGATTTAAGTTAGTTGATTACCTTTCCTTTTCTTGAATACCCCCAACCAAACGGCCCCTAATTCTAATCATGCATAATATTCGGTTTGACATCACTTAATTTCACGAATAATAGATGACTCAAATAAAAATTAAAGAAAGCAATTCAAAAATTGATCATTTTTAGTCTTTTGATCCTCATCAAAAATGGTTTGCAGATTATGACTTCTTACCCATGAGTTAAAAAACGACCCAAAGGAAGGAAGACAATTGCTTACTTGTCAAACTCCATGCATGCCTCTCGATCAATTTTCCTCCCTCTTTGACACTAATTTAAATTTCATTGGTGAAATTCCAAAGGTAGGCTTGGTTTTGAGCATGTGCAAAGTGGTCAAGACCCCCTAAGTGAAAAGGACCCCAAAATTTGATATCGAGTATTTAGTTATATATACCAAATTTTTTTCCCACGATATAAAGAAAAACTTCTTGATTAATGATTTAATCTTCAATTTTGTCATAAAATTGATGATGTAGTGAAACATTTTTGTTGATAAAAAAAGCTCATGTACAATGATCTTAGGGCCTATTATACAAAGATGCGCCAGACCATTTTCATTGTTAACATTTGTAGCTCACCTATATTGAAAGGGCTCCCAATCTTCCATCAAATTTCCAATAAAACGCGGGCAAGGTGTGTTGATGATGGATTTCATCACACTGTCGCAGACAATGAAATTGACGAATTACTATTTTGTATTGTAAATTTGCACTGTTTCAATAAAAGTGGAGTACGAGTTGTATGATAATATCAGTAATATTTTAATTATCATTAGTCAAAAAGATCAAACCTTTATTGAATTACGTTATTTTTAATCGCTCGTAATCTAATTTCGCAACTCTATAAAAACGTGGTTTAATCCACATCAATTTTAAAAAAATAACAGTGTTTTATACTTTGGTTGATGTTCTTGTGAAACTATTTGCGTTGTATTGTTAAAAGACTTTTTCAATGGCAAGGCTTTATTCCTTCATCTTTGTTGGATTTAAATTAATTTTATTGAACTAAAATTAATTTTACTAAATTAAAATTATTTTTACTAATTCTCTATTATGTTTTTCTTAATAGTTACTGATTTATACTGAACTAAAATTATTTTTACTGAATTAAATTTATTTTATACTTAATTGAACTTATTTTTTACAGAACTGAATTATTTTTTCTAAATATTATTTTTGTTAAGGTGAAGTGAAAAGAGCGTAAGTGTATTATTGAAAATTCATTTCAATTGTAAACAGACTATAGACAAATGATATACTTGTATGATAATAAATTTAAAGGACTTGTCGAGTAAAAAAGACGAGTGGATGACTTCAATCAATGCAAAAACCAAACAAAATTAAAGGAGAACAATTTAATTACAATAACTATACAATACTCCATTCCGTAAATAAAATTTCTTTTGCCATGTACTTATATCAGTTAGATGACTTAGGTCGTCTTAAGATTAGAGATTTAGAGGACGTGTCTAAATGTAATTCATGTATCTTTTCTAAATATTTTTCCATCTACTCTAATTTGTCGTCGTTGACTCATCAGATCACTATCTTAGCTTAAATACTTCTCCCTCCATTATTCATAAACACAATACGCAATACACAACACTTGTCATTTATCTTAGCTTGATCGGAGAGGGAGTGGTTCATCTTGAAAATATCTAATCGTTGCAAATAATTAATTTGAAACGGTGTAGTAGTAAAAATGAAAATTATAAAAAAAAAAAAAAAATCTTTTTTGAAAGGTTGGAAGTTATTTGGAGGTCATTAAAAAAGACAAAAACGGAAGTGCTTAGATTTTGAGAATTTAGGTTTGAAGTTTGTGATTGAAAGTTTGAGAAAAAAACTGTTAAGTTATTAAACAGATTATGTATTTGGATTCTTACTCCTCCTTAGTTAATTCTTGATTGACTTTGTTAAATTTATTTTCATTATCATTAATTAACAATGGAGATGTTGCATGACTTTAGTCAATGAAAAATAGTGTCCATTGAGACTTCTGTAAAATAGAAACAAAAAAAAAAAAAAAAAAAAAACGAGAAATAAAATGTTACATCTCCTTAAAAAATAAAGTTCCAAAAAACACCCCAATTGATTCTTCTTA